ACAGCAGGTCTAATAAACATCATAAAGGTTCTCCTCAGAAAAACCAAAATAGTTTCACATTGTTAATCCATTTTCCTTCAGTCACTAATTTCTATTTTTAATATTGCACTAAAAGGTAATTACATGGAAAACTATAAAGTCTGGAGCCTTTCCAGTGGTTGCATCAGACATTGATTTACCTCTGCTTTTGAGAATGATTTTAATAACTCCATAGCCATTTAGCATGAGCAAAGACAGCATTTGGCAAGGAAGCAGTACTCTCTCCATTTAAAGACAAAAATTAGCAAGGTACTTCTATGAGAGTATGGCAGATCTGCCAGATGTTTTGGGTGTTTGTTTTTTTCTTTCCCTGTAAAAATTTCTCTTAAAATTCAGTAACATTGTCACACTGAACCAGACTGAATTCCCCAAGTGGTTACAGACGGGTAACTAGTTCAAGAGGATGCAAGAGAAAACTGAAAGCTCCCAGTCTCTAACCTCCACCCTCTAGAGGTTAATGGTGGTTTCTACAGGCACCCCACGATGTGGTTATAGCACACAAACAGACTTCTATTCCTTGAGCTGTACGGCAGTAATCCCTGAAGGGTTCTCAGATACTTCGTGAGGGCACCGCTGAAAAAAGTAGGCTTCTAATGCACTGTAATGCTGTAATTTCATTCACAAGAAACAACACTCAGTCTTCTCTCTACAACATGAAATTTTAGGCTGTTCAAAGACAGTAAATACCCCTGATCGTATACATGATTCCACTCTGGACCCGGCACATGGGAACTCAAATCCTTGACTGATATATTTCATATGACTGGAGGTTGGAAAGCAATCAGCATTTGACAAATGATAGAATTATGCAGGTCTTAGGGTGGCTAAAAAGGACTACGAGGCAAATAACTGATTTTTTTCATTAAAGATCTAGCATTTAATGGTATGGTAAATTTAGCCATAGCCACTGCTTCCACTAGCACTGTGTTGAGATCACCCCACAGAGCACTTGACGTTAAATCTGCCTTGCCACACTGGAAAGAAGGGGAAGAATGTAGTGTGCTAATAACAAGGGATCCCCATCCATGTACCACTCTTTAAAAACACTTCATTAATAAATAACAATAAAGTGCTTTCGATTTCAGACAATGATGTCCTTCAGAGCCAAGCCATCAAAAAGCCATTAAAACAATGAAGAAAACTAGATCTGTATTGGAGCAGAGATCACCTGAACCATGTGTATGGTTGGAGCTTCACAACTGCAACTGCTGTAAAACTACATGTGGAAGCTGGGACCACCCTTCATGTGCAATAGTAAGTTGGAATGCACTTCTCCAAACCACAACAGAAACAATCTTCAAGAAAGTATCAATGGCTCATAAACAAAAACAAGGCTATCCTTCCCTCTACCCAACCAGAACAAAGAGGGACATGACAAGGGGTTTGTTCCACGTGACCACTTCATCCCCATGTACAAACAGGGGTGCACAGACTAAATAATAACATAAAATTTTAGAGTATTTTTGCCTTATCCAGAAAGAGAGAGGGAAGCAGTTGTACAAAAGAAAACAGCTGTAAGTTCTGCCTCAGCTGCTGACTACATCAGCAGAGTCTGGCAGCCTAATTGTCTCTCGAAGAAGCACAGTAGCAGATGCAGAAGGAAACACCTGCAAACACAGGAGAGGAAGAAAATAACTCTTCTGTACTGAAAGAAGTTTTTAATAGATGAAACAGTGGGATGAAAAAAGAGAATGGTAAAATTTCCACAGAAACTCATAAATAAATGTTCCTACAGGATAGCTCAAGATCCACTTCAAAACTGCATTTTTTTCTGAATGCGGCCCCTAAAACATATTTTAGTTGTGTCCACTTTGTTAAAAATTATATATATGAACTTTTTTATCCTGCATTAAGTGATCTTCTATGAGAAAAACCTCAGCACCTCAGCACCATAGTTTATGACCTATGTTTAAAATTAACCACAGATGTTTAATCAAAATTTTATCTAGCTTCCCCATATTTACTGAAAATCAATAATTAGTATCAGCTATTGCTCAGAAGTTAAATGATAGATAGAAGTCACAAGTTAACAGCTTTGAAAATTTACTACGAAATCTCAGCTAATTGAGTGCAGAAAGAAAACTGAGATTACAGTTAGAGAAAAGACAGATTACAGCTCTTTTCCACTATGTCTAAAAGGTATATCATCATAACCAAATCGTGGAGATAGATATGGAAGTGAGATATCACACGAAAGATTATTTTTCAAATGTGTGATAGAATTCATGCCTTTAAACAAGGCAAATCATTCAGTGTGAACAAAAGGAAATTATTTAAATTAAAAGATTCAATCAAGAGAAGTATGAATTATTGAGAAAAACATGGACCGTGAGTTAACCACAGTACTACTTTGTTGAAGAAAAGTGTTATAGAGATCTATTAAAATAAAAAAGCTTAAGAGCTTTTTTGCTCCTCAGGGTAAACAACAAAAAAACCCAAGAATATTAAAAAACATTTAAAAGTTAACACTCAAACTTAATTAGCTGGTATACTAAGAATATTCACTTAACTGTTATCTTCGTCTGAGAGAAAGGTGACAATTATCAAGTAGCTACCTGAAGAAAAGGATTTCTTTCTCCCACAGCTACGTGGACAATACAGAATCAGTAATAAATCCAGCAGTAGCTTGAATGCTTTACTTCATCCTACATTCACTTTACCTTTCTTGAATATTTCATCTGCAATACTTCATACGCCAGATTTATCCTGCAACTGACAGATCTTGAGTCATTTTTCACAGACCATAAACAAACATTCTTAGACTATGAACTAGTGATGGACTCAATGCATTATTAGTGGTACTATAGGAGCAGGCAGAATTTATGCACCTGATGTCTTTTTAAATTGTGAGCTTGGTTAAAAAAACAAACAAACAAACAAAAAACCCCCACACACACACAAAACCCAAACACCGCTACCAACCAAAAAACCCACAACGTTGACTTTTTTTTGAATTGCCAGTTGCTGTAGTGAATATAGAAATATTAAAACATTGTAAAAGAAGATTATGAAAACCATAGTACATTTTATGAAATAAAAATTCCAGGACATCTATATTAGAAACAAAATTTGGACAAAAATGCAGTCTTTTTTTTTACTTCTTTAATATATAGAATGCTATTTCAGAATTCTGTGCAAGTTTTATGTGATTGGAACAATTATGTATGTAACAGTGAAAAACCTATTACAACATGTATTTTAGAGGAGGGATATGAAAAGCATCAAACTGGTATAGTGGATCATTAATTAAATACATGAGAATAAATGGATGGAAATGTGCCAAATGAAAGATGTAACATCACCAACATAAAACATAACAATGTATCTTAACTACTATCTGGCATACGTACAAGGGTCAAAGCTAAAGCTGCATGGCAAGTTTATGTTTGCCTTATCTGAAACTTTCTCCAGACCACAGCTGTGATATTAATTATATGCATTTTACTTTAAAGAGTTCTAGCTGTATACACCAAGGTGTTAAAACAAAACAAAAAAAACTCCAGATGCATAAACTAAACGTTATGAAAAGTATCAGATACTGTCTTAACTGTTAGAACTAAAAAGAGATTTGACACCACCTTCTTCCTTGCATCCCAAAACTGAGATTACCAAAATCAGTCTCAGCTCTTGTCTAATTCTTTCATTGAGAAAAATGCAGATTCAATCTCAAAGTGCAGGAACAGCTGACTAGTTTTCCTTTAGGATTTCCCTTGTACTCTTTCTCCCAAGATTCCCAGTTTTGGCCTACCTTGACCACACAGGCTAGACTTATAAGCAATCTTTTGTTGTGGGAAGGATGAACATCACAAGCTACTCATCTCTCTTGCCCCAGATTTTTTGTGAAATAAACGATTAGGTGTACCAAAGAAAGGGAGAAACAATTTGTAAATTAACAATTAGCTTCTTTCACACATAAGACATGAGTTCTAATCCTTTCTCTTCTGAGCACTTACCAGTATGCTAAATTTTCCTACAGAAATAAGTTTCAATAAAGCTAGTGATTACTCTTTATTAATAAAAGCAATCTGAAATTTTTGTAGGCTACAACAAGGTTTTATTCTGCTTTAGAGTAAATATGAAATTTTATGATTTCCTGTTCTTAAATATTCTTAATTCTTAGGAGCTCGACTTTATCAAAAACATTAAAAATAGCTAAATTCTCTCTGCTTTTGACAAACGTAAGGTACTAACACAGACAAGAAAGGTAGGTATCTTGATTGATCCTAAACTCTTACAAAATAACTATTCTGTCTAAGAACACACCATAGCAATTGTTAGTATTGTTACATGTTTCTAATTTTGCCTCCCAAAGTTAACACAATGTGGAAATAAATAAATTACTAGTATTCCACTGCAGTATAAGAATTCAGTGTCTGATTATTCTTCTTTGACATCATTATTACATAAGTATGTTCCAAGAAAGAGGTATTTATATCAGTTTTTATAAAATGAGTGAACTTTTTTTGGTTTTTTTTGTTATTGAAATTAACCCACATATAAAATATGCATACAGTACTGGTATAGAATTGATTTTGCCTTCCAGAATTCACAGAACAAATAGTACATATTCAGAAGTTTATTTTAATGAAAATGGACTAATCTGAGATTATCAGTGCTTTTCACACTGAACTGCAAAATACTACACAATTTTGGGTTAAGTTTCATTCATCATCATCCAGAGTCTACCATGAGAGACCAAAACCATAATTAATTAAAAATATTAGCAGAAGAACCTTAGCTCCATCAAAGTCAATGTTCCTTTTAATTTAAATGCAAATTTAGGCAAGAATAACAGGATGGTGTTTGGGAGGGTTTTATATAATCACTTTTTGATTTAATACACTTCATCTCAATAAAATAAGTTGCTTTCTCCTTTAGGAACAATATCAGCTGTCCAATGAAGTTAAAAGACAGGGAGGCAGACACCAATGCTGAGGATTTGTTGATTGCTATGTACATACCACCTTTCATCATTCCCACTTCATAGCATTTTCTTAGTCGGCAAGCCTGGCAACTCTTTCTTCTGTTCTTGTCGATGGTGCACTGGTTAGTAGCAGGACACATGTAATCATTGTGCCCTGTAAAATCAGAAGGAAAGTAAGGACACAGTTACACACCGACATAACAAAACTGCCTATAATGCTCTCTCATTTCCCATTAAGTATTCAGTACAGCATGTAACATCTTGAAAAGAAGGTAGGGTTACCATCATAATCTATCCTAAAAGTATTGCTACGGATAGTAGAAACTAACATCTATTAATGACACATTTATTCACGAGTTCTTTAAAAGTACTATTAAAAACACAAATTACAACTTCTGTTAAATAATTAAAATAATAAATAATTAAAGCAGTCACAGAAGAGGACAGATTAATACGAACACGTCCTTTGACTTCCTTTTCTCGTAGCCTGAGAAATACAGTGCCATCTGGTCCATGTCTCTGTGTTTATGTTTAACCAAGAGACTGCACAAAATGGTTTAGAGGTTTACAGAATCAAAAAGGCCTATGCACAGAACATTTTTTTGATATCTACCACAATCTGGGCACTTAAGAAACAAACAACATCATAAAATAGAAACAACAACCATTAATTAATTATTACTCAGGGATAAATCAGCCTCTAATTCCTATTGCATGTCTACTCATATAAGCAAAAACTTTTTGACGTGACAAACACGTAAGTTACCATATGCTGCAACCAAGTTTGGTACTGGTACCTTTTCCTTCAGAGCTCTGTTTCCTTATTTATTACTCTCTACATCTCAATTCTTGTTACAAATATTTTCAGCATACCAAAATTTGTTACTGCCAACAGGCCTCTATTCCAATTTTCTCTTTAAAAATGTGTGCTTAAACCTGCTCTAAAATTTTTGTCCAGCCATAGACGAAGTTCGGCAAGGATAAAAAAGACTATCCAAAATGATCTTATTGGTGTTCTCTATTCATCTAAACACAACCAAGGTACAGCACGCAACGAAACAATTTTACTGCAGAACTGTTTGTTCTTTCTTTCAGGTCAAGGGATCAGCTTGAGGTAGAGTAGGGTGGAGGTTTGACAGAGGCCTTGGTCTCATCAAATCATCTATCCTTGACTAGAAATTAGAAAATAGACTAAAAATTACTATCAAATTACACCAGGAACATCTGCTCTCTAATGCTATATAACTGGGATCCAATCAAAATAAGCAGTCAAACTAAACTTGTTAATATAGTGACAGCTGACTACACACTGCCTCAAATAGACAGAATTATTATTTTTTAGATGTACTTGACAGAACAGCGTAACACTGGAAAAATCTGAATCCATAGGCTTTACTCCAGGACTGAGGTAAAGAGGTAGAACAGAAACACTGCCTCAACCTCATAATGAAAGACCGTTTCAATTTTCAGTTCCTCTGGTAGGATACAGACTGTTCTATATCTGTTTCAAAACACTTCACATGTAAGGGAAAAAAAAAAAAAAAAGAGTCAGAAAGAAAACAGCCTCAGCCATACAAAAATGCAACATCTACAGGGAAAAGGAGCAAAAAGGGAAAGCCATTTTTTTAAGAAAATGCACTTTTATTAGGTCACACTAAACAGCAGCAAAAGATTGTAGTGACTGACCTCAATCACCAGCCTTGTTTTATAATCCAAGCTCTGAAATAGTACGAGAAAGACGGAAAACAAGTATTACTCCTTTCAGAAATTAAGTCAGACTTTGGCAGAATATCTGATCTTCTTCCTAGTGAAGTTAGAAGGTAAATTCGCAAGGGGAAGGAGCACAGGCTCTGAATTCAGCAAATAATTCTGAACATCATTTAGCTCTCTGTAAATTAAGCAGATAAATGTTCCCAGTAAGGTGAAAGCTGACGAACACATACTTAACCACCTTTGCTGGACTGGCTGATGCCTGTGAGGTTCAACTCTCTCTCTCTCTCAAAAAAGTTACAGTATGCCAGAATCAAAAAACAAGTGGAATCAATATCAGCACAATAGCTGTCCTTTTTCACCATGTTCATTTGGGTGATGAACATTTTATTCACTTTGAACCTAGAACTGCTTATTGCAAACTACAAGTGTGTGGGAATAGGCATTTGTTTTACAGAATAATACATAAAATAATCCTATTTGTGATAAAACTACAGTCCCTACTGAAGTTAACATGATTCATATTATCATGTTTTTACTTTGAAAAGTTTTATCTTAAGTATATGCTTTAAAGGTTAACATAATTAGTCTATTTTCATACACACGACCTGCACCTTAGGCAATCCACTCTTCTCTCAAAATGCCTGACAGACTTCACAGAATAAAACCTGTAAAATTTTGAATGCAAAAAAAGAAAGATCTGTGTGTGAGGGGAATAATTCTTCAGACTACAAGTGCCACAGTAATGTCATTGTTTAGAGTTCTTATTTGCTCTAAATCTATGAATAAGATAATGCATTTAATATTTCTCATAATTTTTGGTTTCCTTTAATCTATATGTCTTCAGGAGACTGGAAAAGATGTAAGCAACAAGAAGCAAATATTTGATAATTGGAGTATACAGTAGAATTTATTATCAAATGAATCAGGGAAGAAGAAATAAGGGAAGAAGAAAGGCAGGAAACTTCCCTGCTTCTCCACAATATCATCTTATTTCAAGTATTCAGGCACAGGAAGCAAGGAAGGAAGTTCTGTTTGCAAGGCACAGACACAGACTAGGGTTGTCTAACTTGGGGGGGGGATGGAAGAGAAAAAGGAAGAAGAACACGATTAAGGAATACGTAACGTGCAAAGACAAGTTTTATTTTAAAGTAAAATAGTGTAATTCCACCACTCTGTTGTAAAGTTAATTGTCTTTTAAGTATTCTACCTTGGATTTTATCCTTAAAACTCATCCCCCAACAAAGCTGATTCTGAACTATCTCACTTGTTAGAAGGGTTTTCTTGCTGGTGGGAATCATCAGTGTGAAAGTGGGACGTATCAACAGGAGAGCAGCTGCCCTGCACTTTCTTGTCATGGTATCCAAAGAGTAATACATGCTAGAAGAGAGCTTAATTAGGCCATTTGGACAGTTGGTATCTCAGGAATACCAAGAGGAAGGAATGTCTGCAGTGATCAGTGATACTCCTAAAGGGAAGTACAAGCCACTTGGACTCTGTGGTCTTATTGTTGTGAGTTTTTTAATAAATTATCAGATAACCTCCATAAAATTAGAGGCAGTGACTTTCATAGTGCAGAGCTCCTAGTTTTAATCCCCCTATATATATGACTTGCACTCTCATGAGCTACAAAAGAAGAGGTTAACGGAGCTATTAGACAAGTTCAAGGAGAGCTAGTCTGTTTTACTTATGATATCCCATACATCGTACATTTTAAAACAGTAAAAATAACCTTAAGCATATTTATAGCATCTTATTACATGCTAAGGTCTTTCCAGAACAGGGTGCAAAGATCTGGCTCTTTTCTCAAAGCACTAATTTTAAATGTGACATTCTGATAACAACGAAAAATGAAGGAGGGGGGGAGGGGATGATGAGGAAGCAAAGTGTCAACAAGATGATAATGGCTGAAATTAGGATGATTTTGAGTTTATTCTAACCCAGCCTGTCATAATCAGAGCTTTTTCTTACTGCCCATGCAGTCAGACTTTCTCTCAAACCATGAGTCATGTGGCTAGTATTTACGTTAAGAGACCCATCACTCTTGCCTAAGGGTTCTCGAGACAGCTGTGGCATATGCAACAGCAGTGCAGGCTTGAATCGGAGTGGGCAGTTGATATACCTGTGAGGGCTTCAGTCAGCAAAACACTCCATATTTCTTTAAAGTTAAGTGTTACTACATTCAGCAGAACATTTAAGCATCTGCGTACTTCTAGCAAGTAGTCCCAGCACAGTATATATGGTTAAAGTTAAGTACATGCTTAAGTGTTTCACTGAATTGCAGCTTTGAAGAGCTGAGTTCATTTTGTACTTGACCAGCAAAGATGAAATTTGGGGTCATATTAATATATCAACGGCAATTAACATAACACAGAAATATTTTTCTTCTTAATTGTGTAAACAGGTGCCATCTTATATTCCAGTAACCATCAAGATTAGCAGGACAGAATAATTCGTTTAAATGGTACAAAAGTTGTGCAAAAAAATGAAATAAAGAAAGACCTGCCAGGTTAGGTGTTACCTGTGAAAACACCAGATCCTTCTATGATCTTATACTGACAGTGAAATTATCAGAATTTCATACATGTAGGTGGAGGGAAGGCTAGGGTGTCTGATTTATCCACCACTTCAAGTGCCCAAGAAAGTGATGAGTGGGAAAACTGCAAATAAAAATCAAACCTTGGAAAGAATAGCCTCAACAGCAAGTGGAAAGTTTTCATAAACTAAAATTTAAAAACTGGACATTGCAGATGCTAACCCAACATGAACAAATATTGAATGTAAAATAAGAAGTCATACCAATTTTAAGTTAAAGTGCCCCAATAAAACCTTAATGATTGATTTTAAAATCTCACTCTTTAAAGAACAGAAGGTTATGTCTAATTCTTTTATAAGCACAGACACTCAAATTCACAGTTTAATTACCTTCAGACAAGGTCTTTAGATTTGGAGTTTCAGTTCTCTTAGCAACTACCTTAAACTAGCAATACACTACTACATGTGACAGTAAGAAAAGGGCCTCAAAGATTGTAAAACATGCTTCCTTTGCATCCAGTGTGGAAGTCCTCCTAGACATACCTCAGAAAGAAAGATCACAAAACCACTGAAGAATGAGAAAGGAGGAAAGGTTAAAATCTATATACCCTGTATTATGTCCTTCTTTCATGTAACTCCCACACTGATTGTTCACCTTCTAGTGGAATCTTCTTGCCTTTACGTATGTATAGCACTCTTCACTTGAGCAATTCAAGCCAAATGATTATGATACTGACCTTTCCTTTAACCTTTCCATATACCGTTTCAGCTAACAGAAAAATATAGAATTATATTTTCTACTCCAACAGATAATTTCAAAGTTTTATTATTGGCCTTAGTCCTAAAATTTCCATTTCTGTTTAATCTACAATTTCAGGATTATGATACTGTGCGCAAAGTCTACTTCTA